CCATGGCATCACAGCTCGCAGCAACCTCCAACTCCTGGGCTCAAGTGAGTCTCCTGCCTCAGCCTCCCAAGTAGCTGGGACCACAGTTGTGTGCCACAACACCTGGCTATTTTTTGGTTGCAGCCGTCATTGTTGTTTGGCGGGCCCAGGCTGGATTCGAACCCGCCACCTTGGGTGTATATGGCTGGCACCTTAGCCACTAGAGCCACAGGCGCCGAGCCTACATGAGGTTTCTTATACTGTTTTCTGTATTTTATGTTTGAAAACTTCCATAATGAGCATATTTGAGAAGTATCTTACTTAGATCTTGGTTTGAACAAGCCAAGCATAAAAAGACATATTTAAGATTATAGAGGAGTTTCAAAATGAACTGGGTATCAGACAATACCAAAGAATTGACTGGGTGGGGTGGCTCCTGCTTGAAATCCCACCAGTCTGGGAGGCTGAGGTGGGAGGATGGCTTCAGCTCAGGAGTTCAGCCTGAACAAAAGTGAGACTCCATTTCTACTAGAAATAGAAAAATTAGCTGGGCATTATGGCAGGTGCCTGCAGTCCCAGCTACTCAGGAGGGTGAGGCAGGAGGATAACTTAAGCCCAAGAGTTTGAGGTTGCTATGAGCTGTGTGATGCCTTGGCACTCTACCCAGGGCAACTGAGTGAGACTCTGTCTCAAAAAGAAAAAAATTTTTTGGATAATTTTCTTGGGAGTCAAAACAATAACTTTGTAAGAAAATGTTAATTCTGTTTAGATGTCCATCATGAGGTATGTAGAGGTCAATGACCTGTGTTTGGTTAATTCTGTTTAAATATCCACTGTGAGGTGCGTGGGGGTTAGTGACCTGTGTTTGAGATTTCTTTTAAAAAAAGATTAAACACAGCTTGGCACCTGTGGCTCAAGTGGCTAAGGCGCCAGCCACATACACCTGAGCTGGCAGGTTTGAATCTAGCCTGGGCCTGCCAAACAACAATGACGGCTACAACCAAAAAATAGCTGGGCATTGTGGCAGGTGCCTGTAGTCC